GTGTGTGTGTGTGTGTGTGTGTAATAAGCCCCCTGTTAGAATGTATTGATTCAGTGCTTAAATATGTGGCTGTTACTTGAGAATGGGTTTGCAAATATTTGGGGTCCCGGTGCTGGCAATTCAAAACCGCTTCCATTCTGCCTTCAATTTTTAGCAGGAAGACAAAAAAAAGGGTCGTGAGAATTGCGGCGAAAACAGGAGTCGTTGCTGGAGGGGGATGACGTCTGAATTTCTGCAAAAGGATGCCTGTCATCTTTGCTTAAATCCTTTCAATACATTATTTTCTCTGATGACATTGGGACCCCGCACATGCAGTCATGATCCAACTCTGAGGATTCACCCGGAGAATCCCATTGTATCAGCAGTCTGTTCTCAATGTTGTTGCTAATAAACATTCCAAGTTACCGTTTCTCTTCATTTAAAAAAATAGTTCTGTTTTTGGCTCCTTTTCCACTCAAGAATGTCAAGCCAGGCAAGGAGAATAATTGTGCAAAATTTTAAACGGCATTTTGGCAGGATTACCAACGTGTAAATGCCTGGGAATTACACAACCCCTTCGCATTCTCTCCAGATTGTAAATATTTTGCAACGTGCAATACGCTTAAGTCAAAACTTAAGAGAAATTGGGTGGCTGGTTTCCAAAGACAGAGCAATTCATTGCCGTTTTTTTAATTTTCTTTTTGATGATAATTCGACCGAACCTGCTAAAGCTCCTTTTTTTCTCTCATTCCAATTCATTTTGATCTTTCTGCTTTTAGTCTTGCTTGCTGAACTGACCTCCGTTGCAGTCGCTCGTGAGAACCCTTCCCTCCGTCCTTCATGCGACGGCGTTGCAGTAGTGAAAAGGTCCAGCAAAGGAAAAGAGAATGAGAAGGGGGGGCTGGCTTTGGACAGGGCTCGCCGTGGTCCTGGCAGCCACCAGCGCGGAGAGCTTCTCAAGCCCCAGGTGAGTTCTTGCCCCTCATCCAATGAAGAGGCACTCCTGGCTGAATTGCAGCAAGCACTTACCAGGTTTTCTGCAAAATTAACAGGGTGGTCCAAAAAGGGCCCCCACTCACCCTAGGAGATGGGCATGGGCCAGGGGACAGGTCTTCTGCTGCTTTGGAGAGTAGCTGTGACAAAAAGTTCAGAGAACTTCAGAGAACTAAGATGATCCAAGGCCTGGAGACAAAATCAAAATGAAGAACGGCTGCAGGACTTGGGTTTGGCTAGTCCAGTGGTGGCGAACCTAGGGCACGCGTGCCAGAGGCGGCACTCAGAGCCCTCTCTGTGGGCACGCGCGCCATGCCCCGGAGATGGCAACCGTCCCTCTTCAACCATCCGCCTGCTAACTCAGTGAGGTCCCACATGGCCAGATGCATCCTAGCACCCATGTGCTCGCTGGCCTCTGTGTGCAGGGGCCGATGGTGTCAGGCAGCAGCCACTTCGGCCCCTGCCTCGCCTTGCCCTGTGACAATGGCACCCCCGCCTTGCCTCGCCTCAGCCCACAGGACGAGCCTCCTGCCCACTGCCCCACCTGCCAGAGACCCCCTGGATCTCCCCCAACCCTGCCCGGCCCCCACAGGCATCCTTCCCCACGAGCAACATCGAGGTGATCACGCCCACCTTGGCCACACCCACCCAATCTGCCATGATCACCACAGCCACGCCCACTCAGTGGGCCACGTCCACCCAACACCCGGCGATAAATAAGTGGGTTTTGGGTTGCAGTTTGGGCACTCGGTCTCTCAAAGGTTCGCCATCACTGGCCTAGTATAAAGAAAAGAAGAAATAGGGGAGACATGATAGCAGTGTTCCAGTATCTGAGGGGCTGCCACAAAGAAGGTCAGGTTGTTCACCAAAGCACCAGAGGGAAGGATGAGTAACAATGGTTGGAAACTGATCAAAGAGAGAAGCAACCTGGAATTAAGGAGAAACTTCCTAATATTGAGAACAATTAACCAGTGGAACGGATTGCCTTCAGACGTTGCTTGAGCAGGGGGGGTGGACTACAAGACCTCCAGGGTCCCTTCTAGCTCTGAAAAAAGGAAGGCCGTTTCAGCATTCAAGCAGTTGAAAGACATAGCTAATTTTTAAAACAAATTCTACAGACTACGGTCAAAAAAAGATAAATAGGTGGTCCTTGATTTATGACCTGTTTATCAACTGTTTGCAGTTATGACAGCCCTCCAAAAAGTTACTTGTGACTGGTTCTTGCATTTACAGCCATTGCAGGATTCTGTGGTCACGTGATTGCATTCCTGGCACTTGGCAACCTGTTTGCCTTGCTTAACAACTACACTGCCTAACCACAAATTTTCTAGTTGAGGATTACGTGTATTGGAAAGGCATACATAATACCATTCATTTTTTTAATTTTTTGTTTTTTTTAACAGTTGTCAATAATGCACTTTGCAGTTGTTTATTAATGCCACACTCAGCTTTAATTGTAAATTCAAACCATTTGATGCTCGTCAACAACTCTGAAATTCTAATTCCCACTGATATACGTGTACTTTTATTTTTCTTACCTTTTAAGGTGAAATCATCATTGTGTTGACAGTTTTGCATGTATATTGCATAAACATAAATTGCATACCCCTCTAATATCTGTATGCTGCAATTTGCTATTTGCATTTAAGATACAATAAATAACTAAATAAGTCAAACCAGGCGGCCACGACAGTGTGTTGAAACTTCGCTTGTTTTTTTTTTTATGTGTTTCACACATTTCTTGCACGTAAAACACCGGAGGTCCGTCAGTTGCACCATCGGGGGTGTTCTGTTGACTTTTCTGACCTCTGGACATGCCATCCCCTGGCATGAAGTGGTCCTTCCCCGCTCTCAGAGGCCAGCATCAGATTGCCAAGGAGCAAAGGACATTGTGACTGACCCCGCGTTGTCCTTTTGTGCTTCTCACTCACAGGTGTGGCGGATGCTCCATGGAGGTGAGAAGCCACACCGTGTCCTACCTCGCCTCCCGTGTCCAGCCGGTCCACCAGCCCTACCTCACTCTGTGTCCGGGAAACAGGGTCTGCAGTACATACAGGCAAGAGAGCGGACGGAAACCAGGGGAATCTTCTGGGCTTCTGTCTTGACCCTCCCACACCCTGTAGCAGAGAGTTCCAGAGGTTCGCCGCGTGCCATTGAAGGCTACAGCAGCTTCCACCTAGAATCCACGGCAGGCTGTTAGAAGGGCGTAGGTGGAAGTTGCCATAGCTTTCAATGGCTTGCAATGAGCCTCTGGAACTCCCTGCTACAAGATGTGGGAGGATCAAGGTAGGAAGGCAACGCATCTGCTCTTGCATTCTCCTTTTCATTTGGATTTGTTCCCTGCTGAGTGCTGATCTGAAGGCAGTGGGACATGTTGTGTGTGTGTGTGTGGGGAGGGAAATACAGCGCTACCTTCCTCCTCTGCTATCGTCTCCCCCAGAAAGCGGAATTTCACACGATCTAGTTTCTCAGCCTTGTCAACTTTAAGATGTGTGGACTTCAACTCCCAACTAGTAACAACTGTGTTACTAGCTTAACAACGGCAGTGATCCACTTAACAACTGTGGCAAGAAAGGTCGTAAAACGAGGCAAAACCCGCGTAACAACCGCCTTGCTTAGCAATGGAAATTTGGGGCTCAAAATTCGAGGACCGTCTGTAATGCCTCCGTCTTCTTATTTTCCCCTCGACGACGACCCTGTGGAGTGGGTTGGGCTGAGAACTTTTTTTCCTTGTAGGTAGTTTTTGGAGTCATCCGTGGTTCCTTCTTTGCATGTTGCCGTCCCAAAGATGCTTTTTCCAAAAGGCAACTGGACTTCCTTTGTTTTCCTTGGAAGACGTTTTGCTTCTCATCTACGAAGCTTCTTCAGTTCAGAACTGAAGAAGCTTCTGGGATGAGAAGAAAAACGTCTTCAAGGAAAACCCAAGAAAGTCCAGTTGCCTTTTTTGGAAAAAGCCCCTTTGGGTCAATCGTGACTGGATGACTTGAGAATCTCCAAGGACATTTGCATGTTATTCCCAATCGCAACCCTCCCCCCCAAAGATGCTGGGAGTCGAGCGGCCTCTACAACGTACGTATACATAAGTACATTTGGGCTGGGGAACCGGCCTTTTCTCCTGTGAAATCTTAAAATATCCGCCAAGTTCACCTTTTGGGCTCTGTGTTTTTTGCAGAACTACCTATAAAGTCAGCCATCGCCAGGCTTACCGGAAGATTTCCCGGCCGGAATACGTTTGCGGTCCTGAATGGAAGCAGAGAAGCCCTTTCTCTAGGCTCAGATGTCCCACAGGTGCCTTTTCTTTATGTGAAATATTAACAACAACAACAAAAATCCTTAGGGGTCCTTAGAGGAGGGGGGGGGCTCTTGAGTTGCTCAAGATGCGGGGGTTCTGTGTGGAAAAGCAAAACTGATGCTGGAAATTCGGTTTATTTGAATGCAAACAGAAGCTCGAAGCTGCATACCAGACCACGTGGAAACCACTTCTGGACTTTCTGCTCAAAAGAGACGAAAATGAAATTCTGACATATGTTTTTAGGTGGTTGTTATAGAAAAGGTTAGGACTTACTGTTTTTGTAGAAGTAATTCTACTATGCCCTGAAAAAAGTTGGAAGTCCCCGTCTTCTGTTAATAATAATAATAATAATAATAATAATAATAATAATAATAATAATAACAACAACAACAACAACAATAATAATAATAATAATAAAGTTGGAAGGGACCTTGGAGGTCATCTAGTCCAACCCCCTGCTCAGGCAGGAGACCCTATACCATTTCAGACAAATGGATGTCCAGCTTCTTCTTAAAAACTTCCAGTGTTGGAGCATCCACAAGTTCTGGAGGCAGGTTGTTCCACTGGTTAATTGTTCTAACTGTCAGGAAGTTTCTCCTTAGTTCTAAGTTGCTTCTCTCCTTGATTAGTTTCCATCCGTTGCTTCTTGTCCTGCCTTCAGGGCTTTGGAGAAGAGCTTGACTCCCTCTTCTTTGGGGCAGCCCCTGAAATATTGAAACTTTGCTCTCCTGTCACCCCTTGTCCTTCTCTTCGTTAGACTAGACAGACCCAATTCCAGCAACCGTTCCTCATATGCTTTGTTGTTATTCTCTGTACTCTTTCTAGAGTTTTCCGCTCACTCTGTTCCCTTCTCTTTTCCCCTTCAGCTTCTTTTTCTCTTGTCTTCATTTTCATTGGTATTTTATATTAAGAAAAATATTTAATAAAAATTATTTTTTAAAAAAACAAGCAGATCAGGCCCTGGAATCTTTGAAAAGCGAATTACAACTTTCCAACTATATTTAATTTCACAGACAGCTAAGCTAACCCGTGGAGCAGCCAAGGCCAGCAACTCTGTTCTGATTAGCAGGTCGTGCCTAAGAGATAACAGATCATGGCGGGGTGCATGGCCTGGATCTGCCCACTTCCACCTGTCTGGATGGAAGCGGGGTGCCCTCGCCTTCTCTTTGGTTTTGGCTTTCTGCCTCCCCCCCCCCCCAAAACTCCAGTTTCCATCTGGTCTTGTATGAAACCAGCCCACAGGTTGATTGATTTATGATCCAGCCGTCTGTTTGTCTCACCGCAGCTCCTATTTGCCGCCCGCCGTGCCAGCCCAGCCGGAAATGTTCGCTCCCAAATGATTGCACCTGTCCTGGGTGGACCGGGAGGTGTTGCCAGACAGGTAAAAATCTTTGGGTGTTGCCAGGTGTTTCCTCTGCTGGAGAAGCTGCAACACAGCCTGAGGTTGGCATGTGGGAAGGTGCTGTGCTTCGAAGCCTCAGATTCCGTGGAAATGGACTCATACGGAAGGAAGCGGGCGAGGTGCCAGGTTCTGCTCTCACTCAGTTCTCGGTTGTCGGGTGAATTTGGCCTGTGGGTGGCAGGGCTGGAACCGGCGAGCCTGGCTCACATCGCGAGACTCCAATGAATTATAGTTTATTTATTGAAGGGAAGTTGGGAAGCAAAGAACTCAAGCCTGTGACATTTTGTTTGCTCAGAGGCTCTTTTATTAGAATGATGATAAGACTTTTATCTCACCTTTTAGATTAGATTAGATTAGATTAGATTAGATTAGATTAGATTAGATTAGATTAGATTAGATTAGATTAGATTAGTGCAGGGGTAGTCAACCTTGGCTCTTTTATGACTCGTGGACTTCAACTCCCAGAATTCCTGAGCCAGCCATGCTGAGGGGAAAGAGAGAGTTTTTAAGCTGAGCCATGCTGGCTCAGGAATTCTGGGAGTTGAAGTCCACAATTCATAAAGCAGCCTACGCCTAGGCCAGAGATAGGCAACCTTGGCTCTTTTATGACTCATGGACTTCAACTCCTAGAATTCCTGAGCCAGCCATGCTGAGGGGAAAGGGAGAGGTTTCCAAGCTGAGCCGTGCTGGCTCAGGAATTCTGGGAGTTGAAGTCCACAAGTCATAAAAGAGCCAAGGTTGACTACCCCTGGATTAGTGTAAGGACCCACCCCACTTTGCATCTTAAGAAGACAGAACTCTTGGAATATCTCTTCCAACAGGCATCTTTATTAAGAGAAGATGGTTGCAGGCATTCTAGACAGGATCTGAGGGGCCAACCCCTACCATTCAAGGTTTTAAATGTTCCCAAGCAGCCCCCACCCCACCGTCCTTCCAGCGACAATCCCAGGCGTTACATTTCCACCCCTTTTACCTCACTGCCGGCAGAAGGGAGACTTCAGAGAGAGAGAGTAGATGAAAGGCGATGGCCATATTGTTATGGTCAGTCCTCTTGATAAGAATCCCATCCAGTCCTTTGTAGTTTAAATGAAGGAAGTGAGAGTCATAAACCCCCTTTCTCCCTCCTCCCCTTTCGTAGTATGACAGAATCCACAAAGAGTAAGAAATGGGTCTTTTTTCAGAGTAGGTAGCTAGAAATGAAAGGTAATTGGATTCTGACAATTAGATTAGATCTTCTGGCCCATTTCCCCACCTTGGATGGTCCAGGTTCTTCTATTATTATAAACGGGTGCAACGCGAAGCAGGCTAACCAGGCCTGGGAAGGGGGCTGCTTCCGCCATGCAGGGGTCCCCTTGGCTCACAGCTTCCTCCTCTGCCTTTAGACGTGGACGAGTGTGCGGCCGGGAGACACGGCTGCAGCCAGCTTTGCGTCAACACAGCCGGAAGTTACCGCTGCGCTTGCCATCCAGGGTACGGGCTCCATGCGGATGGACAATCGTGTCAGGCTCTGAAAGTGCCCCCCACCCCAGCTCCTCCAGGTGAGACCGGAGCTTGCTGGATCAATCCTTGTCTGGCAGGGTGATGGTGAAGGGATTCAGCCTCTGTGTGCTTGCTCACCACAAAATGCAGAGGCCAAAAGGTGACTTTGAGCTGGAATTTGCATGGAATTTCTCCTCCTCCTCTTCCTCCTCCTCCTCTTCCTCCTCCTCCTCCTCCTCCTCCTCCTCGCACCTGGGTGACTTGGCTGGCTTGTTTTGGCTGAGCAAAACCAGAAGAAGAATCTGCCTTGATGAACACTTGAGTTTATTATGCAAGAATGGTGTACCTCACCTGTGGATAGGTGGATAGATTGCTTGGGTTAGAGGTCTCACAAGGAGCTGCCCCCCCCAAGTAGGATAAGAAGATGAATTTCTTGTTCCCCAAATTCTTCGGAAGCACAACCATTATTTTTCCAGGGTTTCCCCAGTATGATAAACGAATCCATTAGCTGGACTAGTGTACAACTTGATTACATTTTAATCCATCAACTGTAGCTTGCTTTCTGGATGCAAATACCAGCAGTCTTTCTCAACTCTGCCTCTTTAAGATGGGTGGACTTCAGCTTCCAGAATTCCCCAGCCAGCTTTGTGGAATTCTGGGAATTGAAGTCCATCCATCTTAAAGTGGCAGGGGTTGAGAAACATGGCTTTAGACTAGAGCAGGGGTCTTCAAACGTGGCCCTTTTATGACTGGTGGACTTCCACTCCCAGAATTCCTCAGCCAGCGTGCACGCTGGCTGAGGAATTCTGGGAGTGGAAGTCCACAAGTCATAAAAGGGCCAGGTTTGAAGACCCCTGCACTAGAGGCTTCACCCCCCGGGGCGTTTTGTGTGGACCCACCCGGTCCTCAAAGAGGAATGGCTGCACTGCTTCTCGTCGCTTCCAAATAATGCAGAGGTGTCCAACCTTCTCCGATGCTACGTACAGCCTTGTGGGAGAACTCAGTTTTCCATGGCTAGACGAGATGAAGGTGTCAGCCCAGCCTGTGCAGCACACCCAAGATTACCTGGTCCATAATCCTGACCCCACACAACTGACCTGGAGTTCCCAAACATCGCTTTTAATTCTGCACACACCTTCCTGTAGCACCCCAAGGCTTTTCTCTGGCTTCAGAGGGACCTCCTGCTTCCTTCCTTCCTTCCTTCTCTACGTCGCACCCCCCGAGCTGGAAGAGGAGACCCCCCCCACCAGCCCAGGCTGACCGCGGCTCATTATTACTTTTGGTACGCGCTGTGCCACTTCAAACTCGTACCGTGAGTAATAATGCGCGGAGGGGCAGCCTTTACGCCGGAGAGGAAGAGTGGGGCACCGTGTCACCGCCAGCCTTCGATCCGTGGACAAGGAAGAGTTACTTAAGCGACGGCTGATTTCCTACACTCCCTCGGGCAGAGAAAGGGAAGAATGGTTTTAAGAGGCTGGGACATGTTTGGTTGGTTTTTATGCAGGAGTTCAAGATATAGTGCTCCACCCAAAAATAAGCTTGCAAGGTACACGGGGTGGGGACCCAGCAAACAACTAAGCTTTTGTGGATGAGGGTGGTCTTGAACCCAGATTTCCCTGCTTCCAGGCCAACAACTCAGCTCCACACCAAACGGACTCTGTGAGGTCAGTGGCACTTGCAATCCTGCCTGGATAAACAGAGTGTCAGATAGATTGGAATCCCAGGGAATAAAATGTCCACTCATTTCTCCACAGACGGCTCTTTCGTTGTTAACATCTCCACAGTCTTTGCCCAACTGGGAGAAAACCCCACCGTCAATAGAGTAGAGTGGAGTGGAGTAGAGTAGAGTAGAGTAGAGTAGAGTAGAGTAGAGTAGAGTAGAGTGGAGTGGAGTGGAGTGGAGTGGAGTGGAGTGGAGTGGAGTGGAGTGGAGTGGAACGGAACCGAGTAGAGTAGAGTAGAGTAGAGTAGAGTAGAACAGAATAGAATATATAGAATAGAATAGAATAGAATAGAATAGAATAGAATAGAATAGAATAGAATATATAGAATAGAATAGAATAGAATAGAATAGAATAGAATAGAATAGAAAGGGACGTTGGAGGTCTTCTAGTCCAGCCCCCTGCATTAGTCCCAGTGATGTTACCTAGTTGGAGAATGAAATGCCTGCATGCCACCAGCCAAGCTCAGATAGCACCAAGCACTCCAAAGATTAAAATCAGATTAATAATAGTAGACACACACACACACACACACACACGCAGAGAGAGAGGTAGTCCTCGAGTTACGACCACAATTAAGCCCAAGATTTATGTTGCTAAGTGAAACATTTGTTGAGTGAGTTTTGCCCCCGTTTACAACTTTTTTGCCCCAGTTGTTAAGTGAGTCACTGCCGCTGTTAAGTCAGTAACCCGGTTGTTAAGTGAATCTGGCTTCCCCTCCCATTGACTTTGCACGTCAGAAGGTCCCCAAAAGCGGATCACGTGACCCCGGGGACACTGCAACACATCATAAATACGAGTCAGTTGCCAAGAGTCTCAATTTCGATCACGTGATCCTGGGGGAGGCTGCAATGGTTGTAAGTGTGAAAAACGGTCCTAAGTCGTTTTCTCCGTGTGGTTGTAACCTTGAACGGTCACGAAATGACCTGTTGTAAGTCAAGGACAGTACAGTCAGCTTGGACTCCTGATGGCTTCAGGTTGTTTCCTGGCTATAATTGGGAACCATTTATCTCGGTCCTCCGGAGTGTTTGGGAAGCTCTTGTGAAGGAGTGCAGATCCGGCGTTGAGGAAGGAAGAAGAGGGAGGCCGGAGGGGAAATGGACGGAGAGCAGGAAGGGCAAGACAGGAACTCCTGAGGACCCCACCCCGATTCTCTCAGTGGGCGAAGAAGGGACGAGAGAAACTCAGACGGACTTTCAGGAGCCTCTTATTATATCCTAGATTTACAGGGGTAGGCAACCTTGGCTCTTTTATGACTTCTGGACTTCAACTCCCAGAATTCCTGAGCCAGCATGGCTCAGCTTAGAAACCTCTCCCTTTCCCCTCAGCATGGCTGGCTCAGGAATCCTGGGAGTTGAAGTCCACCAGTCATAAAAGAGCCAAGGTTGCCTACCTCTGGCCTAGGCCTAGGCCGCTTCATGACTCGTGGACTTCAACTCCCAGAATTCCTGAGTCAGTGTGGCTCAGCTTGGAAACCTCTCCCTTTCCCCTCAGCACAGCTGGCTCAGGAATTCTGGGAGTTGAAGTCCACCAGTCATAAAAGAGCCCAGGTTGCCTACCCCTGTCCTAGAATAACAACAAATACAAACCTTCTTGGAAGCACTGCGAGGTCTGTCCTTAACCAGGTTCTCACAAATGTTTTTCTGTTTCGTTGTGAATTTGTGCTGCAGGAAGTGACAACCTTCCCGTTCAAGAGGAAGTGAGAGAGCTGAGAAGCCGGTTGGCAGCTTTGGAAGAAGTGAGTCTCTTTCTAGTAAGCCCAGTTGGGTGAGGGATGGGGGTGCCAGTCCAAGGGATAGAATAGAATAGAATAGAATAGAATAGAATAGAATAGAATAGAATAGAATAGAATAGAATAGAATAGGGAAGGGAAGGGAAGGGAAGGAAAGGGAAGAGAGAATAGAATAGAATAGAATAGAACAGAACAGAATAGAATAGGAATAGGAATAGGAATAGGAATAGGAATAGGAATAGGAATAGGAATAGGAATAGGAATAGGAATAGGAATAGGAATAGGAAAGAATAGAATAGAATAGAATAGAATAGAATAGAATAGAATAGAATAGAATAGAATAGAATAGAGCTGGAAGAGACCTTGGAGGTCTTCTAGCCAACCCCCTGCTCAACTGGGAGACAAATGGTTGTCCAGTTTCTTCTTTAAAACCTCCAGTGATGGAGCGCCCATAACTTCTGGTGGCAAGCTGTTCCACTGGTTAATTGTCCTCACTGTTAGGAAGTTTCTCCTTAATTCCAGGTTGCTTCTCTCCTTTATTGGTTTCCATCCATTGTTTCTTGTCTTCCCTTCTAGTACTTTGGAGAATAATTTGACCCCCTCTTCTTTGTGGCAGCCCCTCAAATATTGGAAGACTGTTATCATGTCTGGTTGATTCTCTTGGGGTGTCCTGGTGGTCTCCTTTCCAAGGACTAACTGAGCTGACTCTCTCCTTGGCTCTTTCTAAACGAGGCAGTTCTATACTGCCACCTACTGCTGTTACTCACACTCAGCTCATGATTTAGAGTGGAACAGAATAACAGAGTTGGAAGGGACCTTCTGGGTCATCTAGTCCAACCCCCCTCCCCACCCAATTTAACACACAACTCTCTTTTCTTGGCTACAACATGGAAGTGGCTTGCCTTTGGGGAATCTGTTTATCTAGGGCAGGGGTAGGGAACCTTGGCTCTTTTATGACTGGTGGACTTCAACTCCCAGAATTCCTCAGCCAGCGTGGGGGAAGTGGCCCCCTCATGACTCGTGGACTTCAACTCCCAGAATTCCTGAGCATGGCTCAGCTTGGAAACCTCTCCCTTTCTCCTCAGCATGGCTGGCTCAGGAATTCTGGGAGTTGAAGTCCACCAGTCATAAAAGAGCCAAGGTTGCCTACCCCTGATCTAGTGCTTAAGGCGCCTGGCTAGAAACCAGGAGACGGTGGGTTCTAATCCCGCCTTAGATATGAAAGCTGGCAGGTTGACCTTGGTGCCGGTCGCTCTGTCTCAGCCCAGCCCACCTCGCAAGGTTATTGTTGGGAGGGAAACAGGAGGAGGAAGGAGTGATTAGGTATGTTCACCACCCTGAGTTAGCTATAAGGTAATAAAGGCAGGATAAAAATCTAATACATAAAAAAAAAACTGCCAGGCAGCTGTTGGCAGAGACCTCCTGGGAGTCACGCTTCTCCCTTTCTCGGCAGAAGTTCCAGCTCGTTTTGGCACCGTTCCTCAAGCTGGACCTGCCTGGCGCCGGAGAGGGCCCCGGGGCAGGACCCATCGGCCTGCTGGTCCACGTGATGCAGCAACTGGACCGAATAGACTCCCTCAGCGAGCAGATCTCTTTCCTGGAGGAGCGTCTGGAAACCTGTAGGTGGCCCGCTGGACCTGCCGTGTCGGCCTCGCCCCCTGGGTGCATGCTGGGGAGGGGTAGGGTTGCCAGGTCTGCTTCCAAAAAATAGCGGACAAGCGGGGGACGGGGTTAAGTAGTAAAAAAAGTAGACCGCCTTCTGCCGCAGATCCCCTCCCTCAGACCGGTACGCTCCCACAGAGTGGGCCTCCTCAGGGTGCCGTCGGCCAAGCAATGTCGGCTGGCGACCCCCAGGGGGAGGGCCTTCTCTGTGGGTGCCCCTACCCTCTGGAACGAACTACCCCCCGAGATCCGGATGATTCCGGATCTTCTTGCTTTCCGTCGCGCCNATAATGCGCGGAGGGGCAGCCTTTACGCCGGAGAGGAAGAGTGGGGCACCGTGTCACCGCCAGCCTTCGATCCGTGGACAAGGAAGAGTTACTTAAGCGACGGCTGATTTCCTACACTCCCTCGGGCAGAGAAAGGGAAGAATGGTTTTAAGAGGCTGGGACATGTTTGGTTGGTTTTTATGCAGGAGTTCAAGATATACTGTTTCACCCAAAAATAAGCTTGCAAGGTACACGGGGTGGGGACCCAGCAAACAGCTAAGCTTTTGTGGATGAGGGTGGTCTTGTACCCAGTTTTCCCTGCTTCCAGGCCAACAACTCAGCTCCACACCAAACGGACTCTGTGAGGCCAGTGGCACTTGCAATCCTGCCTGGATAAACAGAGTGTCAGATAGATTGGAATCCCAGGGAATAAAATGTCTACTCATTTCTCCACAGACGGCTCTTTCGTTGTTAACATCTCCACAGTCTTTGCCCAACTGGGAGAAAACCCCACCGTCACTAGAGTAGAGTAGAGTAGAGTAGAGTAGAGTAGAGTAGAGTAGAGTAGAGTAGAGTGGAGTGGAGTGGAGTGGAGTGGAGTGGAGTGGAGTGGAGTGGAGTGGAGTGGAGTGGAATGGAGTAGAGTAGAGTAGAGTAAATAGAATAGAATAGAATAGAATAGAATAGAATAGAATAAATGGAATGGAATGGAATGGAATGAAGTAGAGTATAGAGTAGAGTAGAGTAGAATAGGATAGGATAGGATAGGATAGGATAGGATAGGATAGGATATATGGAATGGAATGGAATAGAATAGAATAGAATAGAATAGAATAGAATAGAATAGAATAGAATAGAATAGAAAGGGACCTTGGAGGTCTTCTAGTCCAGCCCCCTGCACTAGCCCCAGTGATGTTACCTAGTTGGAGAATGAAATGCCTGCAAGCCACCAGCCACAAGCTCAGAGAGCACCAAGCACTCCAAAGATTAAAATCAGAAAATGATTTTAATAATGGTAGACACACACACACACACACACACACATGGGTAGTCCTCGAGTTACGACCACAATTAAGCCCAAGATTTATGTTGCTAAGTGAGACATTTGTTGAGTGAGTTTTGCCCCCGTTTACTTTTTGCCCCAGTTGTTAAGTGAATCACTGCCGCTATTAAGTCAGTAACCCGGTTGTTAAGTGAATCTGGCTTCCCCCCCATTGACTTTCCACGTCAGAAGGTCCCCAAAAGCGGATCACGTGACCCCGGGGACACTGCAACACGTCATAAATACGAGTCAGTTGCCAAGAGTCTCAATTTCGATCACGTGATCCTGGGGGAGGCTGCAATGGTTGTAAGTGTGAAAAACGGTCCTAAGTCGTTTTCTCCGTGTGGTTGTAACCTTGAACGGTCACTAAATGACCTGTTGTAAGTCAAGGACAGTACAGTCAGCTTGGACTCCTGATGGCTTCAGGTTGTTTCCTGGCTATAATTGGGAACCATTTATCTCGGTCCTCCGGAGGGTTTGGGAAGCTCTTGTGAAGGAGTGCAGATCCAGCGTTGAGGAAGGAAGAAGAGGGAGGCCGGAGGGGAAATGGACGGAGAGCAGGAACTCCTAAGGACCCCACCCCGATTCTCTCAGTGGGCGAAGAAGGGACGAGAGAAACTCAGACGGACTTTCTGGAGCCTTTTATTATATCCTAGATTTACAGGGGTAGGCAACCTTGGCTCTTTTATGACTCCTGGACTTCAACTCCCAGAATTCCTGAGCCAGCGTGGGGGAACTATGGCCCCCTCATGATTTGCGGACTTCAACTCCCAGAATTCCTCAGCCAGCATGGCTCAGCTTGGAAACCTCTCCCTTTCCCCTCAGCACAGCTGGCTCAGGAATTCTGGGAGTTGAAGTCCATGAGTCATAAAAGAGCCAAGGTTGCCTACCTCTGGCCTAGGCCTAGGCCGCTTTATGACTGGTGGACTTCAACTCCCAGAATTCCTGAGCCAGCATGGGGGAACTATGGCCCCCTCATGACTCGTGGACTTCAACTCCCAGAATTCCTGAGCCAGCGTGGCTCAGCTTGGAAACCTCTCCCTTTCCCCTCAGCACAGCTGGCTCAGGAATTCTGGGAGTTGAAGTCCACGAGTCATAAAAGAGCCAAGCTTGCCTATCCCTGTCCTAGAATAACAACAAATACAAACCTTCTTGGAAGCACTGCGAGGTCTGTCCTTAACCAGGTTCTCACAAATGTTTTTCTGTTTCGTTGTGAATTTGTGCTGCAGGAAGTGACAACCTTCCCGTTCAAGAGGAAGTGCGAGAGCTGAGAAGCCGGTTGGCAGCTTTGGAAGAAGTGAGTCTCTTTCTAGTAAGCCCAGTTGGGTGAGGGATGGGGGTGCCAGCCCGAGGGATAGAATAGAATAGAATAGAATAGAATAGAATAGAATAGAATAGAATAGAATAGAATAGAATAGGACAGGACAGGACAGGACAGGACAGGAATAGGAATAGGAATAGGAATAGGAATAGGAATAGGAATAGGAATAGAATAGGAATAGGAATAGGAATAGAATAGAATAGAATAGAATAGAATAGAATAGAATAGAATAGAATAGAATAGAGCTGGAAGAGACCTTGGAGGTCTTCTAGCCAACCCCCTGCTCAACTGGGAGACAAATGGTTGTCCAGTTTCTTCTTAAAAACCTCCAGTGATGGAGCGCCCATAACTTCTGGTGGCAAGCTGTTCCACTGGTTAATTGTCCTCACTGTTAGGAAGTTTCTCCTTAATTCCAGGTTGCTTCTCTCCTTGATTGGTTTCCATCCATTGTTTCTTGTCTTCCCTTCTGGTACTTTGGAGAATAATTTGACCCCCTCTTCTTTGTGGCAGCCCCTCAAATATTGGAAGACTGTTATCATGTCTGGTTGATTCTCTTGGGGTGTCCTGGTGGTCTCCTTTCCAAGGACTAACTGAGCTGACTCTCTCCTTGGCTCTTTCTAAACGAGGCAGTTCTATACTGCCACCTACTGCTGTTACTCACACTCAGCTCATGATTTAGAGTGGAACAGAATAACAGAGTTGGAAGGGACCTTCTGGGTCATCTAGTCCAACCCCCCTCCTCACCCAATTTAACACACAACTCTCTTTTCTTGGCTACAACATGGAAGTGGCTTGCCTTTGGGGAATCTGTTTATCTAGGGCAGGGGTAGGCAACCTTGGCTCTTTTATGACTGGTGGACTTCAACTCCCAGAATTCCTGAGCCAGCCTGGCTCAGCTTGGAAACTTCTCCCTTTCCTCTCAGCATGGCTGGCTCAGGAATTCTGGGAGTTGAAGTCCAGGAGTCATAAAAGAGCCAAGGTTGCCTACCCCTGATCTAGTGCTTAAGGCGCCTGGCTAGAAACCAGGAGACGGTGGGTTCTAATCCCACCTTAGATATGAAAGCTGGCAGGTTGACCTTGGTGCCGGTCGCTCTGTCTCAGCCCAGCCCACCTCGCAAGGTTATTGTTGGGAGGGAAACAGGAGGAGGAAGGAGTGATTAGGTATGTTCACCACCCTGAGTTAGCTATAAGGTAATAAAGGCAGGATAAAAATCTAATACATAAAAAAAAAAAAAAAAAAACCTGCCAGGCAGCTGTTGGCAGAGACCTCCTGGGAGTCACGCTTCTCCCTTTCTCGGCAGAAGTTCCAGCTCGTTTTGGCACCGTTCCTCAAGCTGGACCTGCCTGGCGCCGGAGAGGGCCCCGGGGCAGGACCCATCGGCCTGCTGGTCCACGTGATGCAGCAACTGGACCGAATAGACTCGCTCAGCGAGCAGATCTCTTTCCTGGAGGAGCGTCTGGAAACCTGTAGGTGGCCCGCCGGACCTGCCGTGTCGGCCCCGTCCCCTGGGTGCATGCTGGGGAGGGGTCACCCTTGGTGAGGAATGAAGAAATGCACCATCGCCTGGAAGTGGCCAGCAAATGGCCCTCGCCTACTTCACATAGTTGGCTTGATGGGCTCTGCCCTGGTCCCACCCCCTTCTGCCAGAGACCCTCAGATCTGTCCCACTCCTGCCCAGGCCCCCCACAGGCCCCCTTGACACAAACGATGTAGACCTGGCCATACCCACTCCATCCACACCCACCCAGTAGGGCGCACCCACCCTGGCCACACTCACCCGGCCCCCCAAGAGCAACCGCAATGCTGATGCGGCCCTCAATGAAATTGAGTTTTGACACCCCTGGTCTGCAGGAAAACAAACCAAGTTCAGAGCTCACCAAGGATCCCACAAAGCAGAGTTTGGGATGGGCGACGGGGTAGTCGGGGCTCCTGTTTTGCTCCAAGGTCTTGCGAAAGAGCTGAGAGATGCTTCCATCCCTAGTCTAAAGTTAGCTCTCTCTCTCTCCCTCGCCTTCTCCCGTCTCCTTTCTCTCCCTTCGCCCTCCCAGACCCTCCCCTTGGAAAGCATGAGCAAGCCCCCCACCACCACCACGAGGTTGACTTTGCCATTTTGCACCCCCCTCCCCCCCCCGTAGGTTCCTGCAAGAACCGGCTCTGAGGCTGAAGGAAGGACGGAGGTCCTCGCTGCTCCTGCATCCCATGTTTTTCCGGTGTGTCTCTCCGTTGAGTAGCAACTGAGCCTTGTTCCAGCAACCCAGCCAAGCGACGGCAGCGGAGAGGATTAAGAGGCTGGAAATATCACCGTTCTCAGCAAGCCCACCCCACCCCACCCCCCTCCTCCAGCTGGCCGGCGTGCAGGAATGGTCACCCCTCCAAACCCTGCCGGCCAGAGGTTGTGGGAAGGGAGACAGGCAGCCTCTTAGCAAAACATCCCTTGAACCAGGAAGGACCTTGCTGCTGAATGGACAGAATCGGGAGGGGTGGGCTGGTCTCGCCTCCCCCACCCCCAGGTACAAGGCAGCTGTTTAGAAAAAAGCCCCCCCCCTTTGGCAAAGCTCAGAAGCTGCTCTTTTCCAGGCTGTTACCCAAAATACCTTGGCAAGGCAGGGTTATTTTCTGTGGGGAGGGTGGTGCTAAACCAGCCCCCCCCCCCCCGTGTAAATGCACCATTCGTGTCCTGCTTGCTTCCCTTTCCAATTGTAGACAAACTCCCATGTCTTCCTCCCTTTTTAAGAAAAATATAGAACAGAATCCTAGGGCTGAAAGGGATTTTGGAGGTCTTCTACACTCTAGTCCAGGGGTAGGCAACCTTGGCTCTTTTATGACTCGTGGACTTCAACTCCCAGAATTCCTGAGCCAGCCCTGCTGAGGGGAAAGGGAGAGGTTTCCAAGCTGAGCCAGGCTGGCTGAGGAATTCTGGGAGTTGAAGTCCACGAGTCATGAAGCGGCCTAGGCCTAGGCCAGGGGTAGGCAACCTTGGCTCTTTTATGACTTGTGGACTTCAACTCCCAGAATTCCTGAGCCAGCCACGCTGAGGGGAAAGGGAGAGCTGAGCCATGCTGGCTCAGGAATTCTGGGAGCTGAAGTCCACGAGTCATAAAAGAGGCAAGGTTCTCCACCCCTGCCCTATATTAGGGGTCCTCAACCTTGGCAACTTTAAGACTTATAATAATAATAATAATAATAGTAATAATAAAGTTGGAAGGGATCTTGGAGGTCATCGAGTCCAACCCCCTGCTCAGGCAGGAGACCCTATACCATTTCAGACAAATGGCTGTCCAGTCTCTTCTTAAAAACTTCCAGTGTTGGAGGATTCACCGCTTCTGGAGGCAGGTTGTTCCACTGGTTAATTGTTCTAACTGTCAGGAAGTTTCTCCTTAGTTCTAAGTTGCTTCTCTCCTTGATCAGTTTCCACCCGTTGCTTCTCGTCCTGCCTTCAGGCGCCTTGGAGAATAGCTTGACTCCCTCTTCTTTGTGGCAGCCCCTGGATTTCAACTCCCAGAATTCCTGAGCCACCATGGCTCAGCTTGGAAACCTCTCCCTTTCCCCTCAGCATGGCTGGCTCAGGAATTCTGGGAGTTGAAGTCCACGAGTCATAAAAGAGCCAAGGTTGCCTACCCCTGCTCTAGTCTATACCATTCCAGACCAAATCCCCATCTTTATGATTAATATGATCAATCAATCAGATCTCAGGACTTAAGCCAGAATAGCAGAGTTGGAAGGGACCTTGGAGGTCCTCTAGCCCAACCCCCTGCTCAAGCAGGAGACCAATGGCTGTCCAGTCTCTTCTTAAAAACCTCCAGTGATGGAGCATCAGCAGCATCTGGAGGCAAGACGTTCCACTGGTCAAGATCCTAATCTATCTTCCAAAGTGTTGACATCTCCTTCAGCTTGATGGGAATTGATACCTTTTCTCCTGTGCCCTTTCTAAACACAGTCCTGATTCTAGTAAAGCAGTCCGAATCCACCAGCAGAGCCGTCCCTTTCAAAAATAGGTAACATGGGCAATTTGTCAAACAGTCATACAGGAACCCAGATTCTGCCCATGTTCTGCCTTATGCATTTTCAAAAAACGTCGTTCATGTGATGAACGCAACCACTGTTGAATTTTCCCACCCCTTCCCGTGCACCCAGCACCCCACAACAGACCGGGCCACCCGTATGCCAAGAGGGATTTGGGTTCCAAATCCCTCTTGGCATAGGATGGTCTCTGGGTTGTTGTTGTTAGTTGCGAAGTCATGTCCAACCCATCGCGACCCCACGGACAACGTTCCTCCAGGCCTTCCTGTCCTCTACCATCTTCTGGAGTCCATTGAAGCTCACGCCTCCTGCTTCAGGGACTCCATCCAGCCACCTCATTCTCTGTCGTCCCCTTCTTCTCTTGCCCTCCATCTTCCCCAGCATGAGGCCCTTCTCCAGTGAGTCCTTCCTTCTCATTAGGTGGCCAAAGTATTTGAGTTTCAACTTCAGGATCTGGCCTTCTAAAGAGCAGTCAGGGTTGATCTCCTCTAGGACTGACCGGTTTGATCGCCTTGCAGTCCAGGGGACTTGCAGGAGTCTTCTCCAGCACCATGGTTCAAAGGCCTCCATTCTTTGGCGCTCAGCCTTTCTTAGGGTCTCTAGGTGGGAGGCAATAAATGCAGGTTGGCTGTGGCGAAGGTACGTTTTGCCCCGATAGAAAGCAAAACAGGCAGCTGCTCACAAGCATTCAAGTACAAATGAATTTACGGGCAGTCCTCAACAACAGTCCATTTTGGGATCGTTCAAAGTTACAAAACGGCATCGAAAAAAGTGACTTACGACCAATTTCCACGCTTGAACCACCGTTGTAGCGTTCCCCCTGGTCGTGTGATCAAAATTCGGACGCTTGGCAATTGACTCGTACTTATGACGGTCGCAGTGTCCCGAGGTCACGTGATCTCCCTTTGACAAGCAAAGTCCAGGCTCACTTAACGACAAATTTAACGACTGCAGGGCTTCACAAGTGTGGCAAGAAAAGTCGTAAAGCGGAGCAAATTCAGGTAGCCAATGGTTCGATTAGCGGCAGAAACTTTGGGCCCAGTTGTGGTGGTAAGTTGAGGACTACCTGTGTCCCCTCGTGGGATGTAATTTCACACGAAGCCTCCCTTCCCTTGCCTGGGTTTGGTTATTCAGCTGCAGAAATTTCTGCCGTTCGTTACGACTGTGATTCGTGGCATCGTCCCCCCCACCCCACCCTGTGGTACTTCACTACTACAGAGCTGCTCTCACTAGAACAGGGATCTTCAAACCTGGCCAATTTAAGACTTAATAATAATAATAATAATATAAGTTGGAAGGAACCTTGGAGGTCATCTAGTCCAACCCCCTGCTCAGGCAGGAAACCCAATATCATTTTGGACAAATGGCTGTCCAGTCTCTTCTTAACTTCCAGTGTTGGAGGATTCACCGCTTCTGGAGGCAGGTTGTTCCACTGGTTAATTGTTCTAACTGTCAAGAAGTTTCTCCTTAGTTCTAGGTTGCTTCTCTCCTTGGTTAGTTTCCATCCGTTGCTTCTTGTCCTGCCTTCAGGGGCTTTGGAGAATAGCTTGACTCCCTCTTCTTTGGGGCAGCCCCTGAGATATTGGAACACTGCTATCATGTCCTCCCTCGTCCTTCTCTTCATTAAACTAGACAGACCCAATTCCAGCAACCGTTCCTTATATGCGTTGGCCTCCAGTCCCCTGATCGTCTTTGTTGCTCTTCTCTGTACTCTTTCTAGAGTCTCAACATCTTTTTTACATCGTGGTAACCAAAACTGGATGCAGTATTGAGGAATTCTGGGAGTTGAAGTCCACAAGTCTTAAATTGGCCAAGTTTGAAGACCCCTGCACTAGACAGACAGCCCAGCCAGGTACTTACGTGTCAGGAGTCCAAAACTACCACATGGTCAAGTAGTAGCACCTAAAGGAGGAACTTGGGCCGTTAGTGCATCAAATTGCCTCGGCCTTCGCTAAGGTACCAGAGGCAGCGAAGAAACGAAGGGGATAATAATCCCAAATCCTTTTTTGCAACTATTGTTTTGCTTTTCTTTGTTTCGTCTGGAACATGTATTTTTCTGGCCACGTGCTTACTTACACGGTGCTATCCCTGCACACACCAAGCGTCTGGATGGTGGGAGTCACTGCAACATTGTGCCCTGAACAGCACAATGGGGGGAAATTGTGGCAGGGATTTGCGAGTAAGCCAGAGCCATTTTGTACGGGGAAAAAGCTATTGTAACCTGCGTGTAACCTCTTTAGGAACTTAATGGATCTTTTGGGAACTGTTGACCTCTCTGTTTCTTGAATCTAAGTAAAAACATGGTAGGCTGTGATAAGGTTGGATGGAAGCAATTAGGAATGGTGGGAACGAGGCTGAACAGCCGATAAGGAAAGAAACAGCTAGAATAAAAGGATGTTCAGGGTTTGCTTAAGTCTGAAAAAGTTGGAACTGATACCAACTTTTGTCGAAATAGTGCTGGGCGGGCTGGGGTGTTCCTGTTCCCCTCCCGGCCGCTGCTTTCCAATAAATCTGTCCTTGGCTAAAACAACGAAAGAAGTGGGACTTTTAATCTCAGTACAATGGGAGAGGTTAAAACGGTCTCATTCATTTAACTGTTCTGCAATGCCGCTGGGTCTTGAATTGTTCAATCTCAAAAACTGGCGAGGTGCTAAATGGGGCTTGCTGGGGGCAAAATGTCATTTAATTGCCTCTCGGTGGAAATGCCTTTTAAGTGAACTTGAAATGGGGGGGGGATCCTTTGCTCCGAGGGTCTTGGAAATAGCAAGGTAAAAGCTTTGGGTGGCTTCGTTCCAGACCCTGCTGGATTTTCCATGCAGATCAGATACTGGTGAGCAAAAAACAGCATCAAGCCAGTTCGGTGAAATGCTGAAAGGTGCTGGCCTAGAGACCAGGAGACGCTGAGTTCTAGTCCCACCTTAGGCACAAAAACCACCTGGGTGACTTTGGGCCCATCACCAGAAGACCGCGAGTTCTAGTCCGGCCTTAGGCACAAAAGCTGGCTGGGAGACTTTGGGCCAGTCCCTTTCTCTCAGCCCAATCCACCTCGCAAGCTTGTTGTGGGAGAAATAGGATGAAGATGTAGTGTGTGTGTGTGTGTTTGCCAGCTTGAGTTATAGCAATCGTCCTTAGACTTATATATCGCTTCACAGTACTTTACAGTCCCCTCTAAGTGGTTTGCAGAGTCAGCATTTGCCCCCAACAATCTGGGTCCTCATTTTATCAACCTCGGAAGGATGGAAGGCTGAGTTAACATTGAGCTGGTGAGAATTGAACTTCTGGCAGTGGGCAGAGTCAGCCTGCAATATGCATTCTAATCACTGTGCCACCACAGTTCTTGGAGATAGATAGATAGATACTGTGGATGGATGGATGGATGGATGGATGGATGGATGGATGGATGGATGGATGGATGGATGGATGGATGGATGGATGGATGGATTTACAGCCCTAAGCGGTTTACAGATTCAGCCTCTAGCCTCCAACATTCTGGGTCCTCAGTTTACCAACCTCGGAAGGATGGAAGGCCGAGTTAACTTTGAGCTGGTCAGGATCGAACTCCAGACTGAGGGCAGAGTTAGCCTGCAATACTGCATTCTAACCCATAAAATCAAAGGTGAATAGCTAGCACTAAATAAGTAACATGAGATGAATGTAACAAGGTAAATTAACCCAGGCCTGGCTATGGATCCTCTGCCTCCCCTCCCCCAACCCCCCCCCTCCAATGCAAAACTTTTGGGAGGAATCAACCACACCAGCCTGGCTTCTTTTTAAATAAAATTCTTTATAAAAATAGTACATTGGACAATACCAAAAAGCAATCAAAGGTTTTGCAATAAGGCACTTTGGCACACATTTTTGGTACGCTTTTGAAAGGACGGGGAAACCATTCTTCAGCTGTCGGAACTCGGAACTACAACTCCCAGCAGCCACATCCTCTCCCTTTGCTTCCATTCAGTTTGGGGATGAGCGCTTTGCCGAAGCTTAAGGGCCTCCCTTCCAGTTGCCGCCACGGCCTTGGACAGGACAACTATGTTCCCAAACCTTGCAAATAAAGCTGAAAGTGGCTTAAAACGATGGTGGATCCAAAGGACCGTCTGAATGCTGGGGTTGTGCTTGATGGGTCCTGCAGAGGCTGAGCTGTTTCAGGGGTAACTTCATCCCAACTAAGTGGCAAATGGCCTTTGCTGCAGAGTTGGAGCGGGGTAGGGGGCACAGCAAGAACAGCATCCTGCTATGCTTGGGATTCCCACATCCACACTGCAAGCGCAGGAGACCCTACTTAGATGGAGCAGAGAGGTCCTGGACGTTGGGCTGTTCTCCTGCCCATGGAAGGATGACTGATCACCCAGCCCAATGAGTTCTGGAGAGAGTCTGGTCTTTTTCAACCTTGGTGACTTTGAAGATGGGTGGACTTCAACTCCCAGAATTCCCTATGGGTCCCCAACCAGTAGGCTGTGGCCCAGTAGTGGGCTGTGGCCTACTGGCCACCGGGCCGTGGGAGAGGCTGACCAGTGCATACTAATGCTAGCGCCGCGGCCGTGGAGCATGAAAATGCCGCTGCACCGTAGGATGCAAAAACGGGCCGATGCCGATGCACAAAAATGGGTGGAAACGGGGCGCTGTGCGGCACAAGAACAGGGCAGGGCTAGCGAGTATCACGCTAGTGCTAGCCCCGCCCTGTTTGCATCACGCGTGTCAAACACTTCCCCCTCCATTTCCCTCCGGTCCGCCAACCGAGAAAGGTTGGTGGCCTCTGCCCTAACTGGCTGGGGAATTCTGGAAGTTGACGTCCACCCATCTTGAAGTTGGCAACGTTGAGACCCTCTGCTCTGGAGCCTCCAGATAAAGGAAGCCGGGTTGTGCCCAGTCCCACTCCTGACCCCCTTTTGTGTCGAAGAATGATCCATGGGGATGAGTGCAGGGCCACAGCGGATGGGATGAAGCCAAGGGAACGCAACTTACTTTTGCAAGATCATCTAGCCCAGGGGTCCCCAACCTCGGCGACTTTTAAGACTTGCGGACTTCAACTCCCAGAATTCCTCAGCCAGCTTTGCTGGCTGAGGAATTCTGGGAGTTGAAGTCCGCAAGTCTTAAAGTCGCCAAGGTTGGGGACCCCTGAATTCTAGCCCACTGTCTGGTCCAAGGTCCCAACTTGCTCCACCCTCAAGCAAAGAAATACTCCAAGTCTCTCCCCGGGGCTGGAGGGCCTCGCTGGAAGTTTTCCAAGATGGCGGAGGCAGACTAAGTGCAGATTTGTCTTTCTTCAACTTGGACACTGAAGGAAGCACCATTGTCAACCAACAGGCAGTGGCTTCATTGGCTGGTTTGGATGACAATGGGTGGGATCGGCATCCAGGCTTGGGCCGAGCAACCGCGGTTTAGTAGGGCAGCAGCCCAACGTGCAGGGAATGTTGGACAAATGGCAAGTTCTCCCTCACAACTCCAAGCGAACACAACGACCTGTCTGAAAGTACTCTGGATTCTCTTATTTAAAGAGTTTACTCAAACCCCTTCTGGAAATCTCTGCCCCACCACAACGGCAGTTGGACTCACAACTCTGCTGAGGGGCAACGGGATTAGTGAAACCTCGCTAGCAGCATTGTGGCCCTCCATTCTTGCAAAAATAAAAATAAAATGGGCACGCTTTGGTGATGGGCAAATCCAAACACTATGGCACTAGGCAAGTTTAATCAAATCTCTTTACACGTTCGTAAGTAACTGTTTCGAAATTCTCTCCGGCAAAAGTATTTTTTACCACCGCTCCTGCCGGCATTTCTCTTTCACCATCACCAGATCTCAGAATGTCCAAATTAGTACGTCTGCTTTGCGCTCCGGCACCCAAACCATGTGAGGCAACTTTTGGTGACTAAAATCCTTGAAATATCTATTCTTGCAACGTATCTTCAAAGAAAACAGGGGGGGAAACTTTGTCCCAAATAAATAAGAAAGCTTCCTTATTCTTAGGCATCGTTTAAAGTGGGGACGAGAGACGATGGTGGCAGTTTCATACAAGACAGCCTCAAACTCTTCAGGATATTCATAAGAATCTCCGTATTAGCCATTCTGACACCCATATTAATGCTAAACTCTCCTGCCAACGTGGGAAAGAAAACCAGGAGGGCAACATTTCTCAACCTCAGTAACTTGAGGACGTGTAGGGACTTCAACCCCCAGAATTCCCCACCCACCATTCCCTAGCACAGTTGACTGGAGAATTCTGGGAGTTGAAGTCCCTACACGTCGTAAAGATGCCGAGCCATCGATTTGAGCCTAGGTAAAGGATGGAATTTGCTTGGTGACCATAAACAGCAAATGTGGTCCTTCAAGAGTCTCCCCAGCTTACCTGTGGGAGCTTACTTGCACACCTGGCCTCCAACAGGGAGAGATGCAGTCTCAGGACAGCAAACACCCAGCATCGCCTCTTTTGGACGAGGGTCATTACTGGTTCGGGAGCGTTCCCCCCTTTCAACCCACGAAACTGCATCAAATAGTGGGGCCTGAGCCCATCTCCCTTAGGGAAAAGTGCCAAGTGGGCAAGGCACCCAAATTATCCCCATGCCCAAGGAAGGGAAGAAGAATTACCCCAAGGGGCAAAGAGGAAGCCATGGACCCAATCCCTGGAGTCCCCAGGAGAGAGAGAAGGCACTTGGGTTGTTTAAACTGCTGGCTGTAGACACTGGGAAGGGACAGGAATCTTTTGGTAAGGGCTGTTTGTGGAGAGGTAGGTGGAGAAAGGAAGGCCAGTGGAGATTCCTCCACATGAGAGGTTTGAGCACGTCCACCGGTTGAATTTCTTCCTCCTCTCACTCAGTTCTTTAGGAGCAACCTACCCGTTTCCCCATAACATCAAGCAAGGGGGCCAACTGAGGGAATCTATCCAACAGGTGAGCCCGCAGCCATTTTGGCAAGAGACCCTACTGCCCAAGGGTGGAGGCTTCTCCATTGGCTTCTCGGCTCTTTCCCGACAACCTGCGGAAGTTCTCCCTCATGGTGGTATAGCACTGCTTGGTGAGCTCATCAACATCCTCGGAGGTCAGGTCCTTCGTTGAGATGGGCGGAAAGATCTCCACCTGGATTTTGCCTGGGGGAGGGAAAAGAGAGTGCCAACATCATCTCTACGGCCCCCGGTCCTCCTGCTCCAGCCCACCCATTCCGTTGGTTGGTCCAGCCAATTCTCCACGTAGTTGGGAAGCGGAAGCCAGAAAACAGCTCCTCCACTCGCCCAACACGTGGTCAAACCCCCCATACCCTCCCTTATTCCTTATGTTTCTCCCGATTAATTCCCCCCCCCTCTTCTTTTGGGTTCTCACAGCAGAACTGGGCAACTCATCACAGCCAGTTTGCCGTGGAACAACTCACCACGGACAAGTCAACGACTCAATTTAATTACTTAAAATAATGAAGAGATCGTTTTAATTTTCGTCATTCGCATTTCATTTTTGTCCATTCTTTGGCACCCTTTCTTTAAGGATGCTGTGCCACGATTTCTTCGATACTAGTGTAACTCTTGCCCTGTGGCAACTTGGCCGTGGTGAGTTGTCATAGACCAGGGATAGGCAACCTCGGCTCTTTTATGACTCCATGAGTCATAAAAGAGCTGAGGTTGCCTACCCCTGTCATAGACCCTCTGACAGTATTGATGAGAATATTGATGAGCTGCTTGCCTGGAAGGTGTTCCAGAGTCCCAAAGTATTGCTTTGATTGGGGAAACCTTCTAGAGCAGGGGTAGGCAACCTCGGCTCTTTTATGACTGGTGGACTTCAACTCCCAGAATTCCTGAGCCAACCATGCTGAGGGGAAAGGGAGAGGTTTCCAAGCTGAACCGTGCTGACTCAAGAATTCTGGGAGTTGAAGTCCACGAGTCATAAAGTGGCCTAGGCCTAGGCCAGAGGTAGGCAACCTTGGCTCTTTTATGCCTGGTGGACTTCAACTCCCAGAATTCCTGAGCCAGCCATGCTGAGGGGAAAGGGAGAAGTTTCCAAGCTGAGCCGTGCTGGCTCAGGAATTCTGGGAGTTGAAGTCCACGAGTCATGAGGGGGCCATAGTTCCCCCATGCTGGCTGGCTGAGGAATTCTGGGAGTTGAAGTCCACGAGTCATCAAAGAGCCAAGGTGGCCTCTCCTGTTCTAGAGAAACGGACTTTGGGAAGGTTGAGAACTGGCCCAAAGGTGGTGAAACCAGGACTGCGGGAAACGGGGCCTCCTGATCTCCCAAGGGATTTGGCGGCCTGTCAGGAGATCTGATGTGTTTCTTGACAAGCCCTATTAAGTAAGCGGGAAGGAAGGGATGCCCCTCTGAAGCTACGCATATCCACAGGCAGAGGATTGAAAGAGTGAAACTGAGCATGCTCACAAAGCCAGAAATCTGTTTAGGCATGCAAGAGAATTCGGATCTCCAAGGACAATTAAGAGAAAGAGAACAACACTTCAAGCTACGTATTATCCCAGGGGTGCTCAATCTTGGCAACTTTAAGACTTGTGGACTTCAACTCCCAGAATTCCTCAGCCAGCTTTGCTTTGCTGGCTGAGGAATTCTGGGAGTTGAAGTCCACAAGTCTTAAAGTTGCCAAGGTTGAGGACCCTTGCATTATCCTACCTGATGTAAACATATTCTTTTCCGGGTTGTAAAATGAAGAAAAGGAGGAATAGACCACAGGAATGATTGGAACCTGCAAAGGACAGATATATAAAAAAAAAAAGTTAGCAAGAACGTGGAAATTCTAGAATTTACAACGATCCCTGTTTTTTCTACTCCCGGAGTGACTTATCCTTCATTTTTTACCCGACACAATAGTGAAAACTTCGTTCTATCAGGACTGAAGTCGGAACGTTAAGGCGTCTCTTGCTGTGGTGCGTTATTCGAAAAAGGAGAAACTTTCCACAGAAGAGGAACTGGGGGAGCTGCAGAAGGAAGTCAGCCAAAAGAGAGCGTGACCAGAGTCAAGAGTTCAGGGGAAAAAAGTTTGCACAAGAACGGGCAAGGGGTAACCTTGCATAACATAACATGAAAAATGTCGAACAGTTTGAGCCTGTTGTGGGGGCAGAGTGAGCTCATTCCTCATATCATTGAGTTTCGGTCGAAATAACTCTTCATTCAATCGTGTCCTTTGCAATGTCCTAAAGTTACCTTCTGGGGCAGTGATGGCGAACCTATGGCACGCGTGCCAGAGGCGGCACTCAGAGCCCTCTCTGTTGGCACGCGTGCCACCGCCGCCAGCAGGTCCATCAGGCTGCCACCGCCACCTGGAGCAGGAGCCCTGCCCAGCACAAAGGAGGTGAAGCGGTCAACGAGCAAGCTCAAATAGACATGGTAGAGCAGAGGTCACCGACCACTGTCGATTGGTGGACTGGAAGAAAAGGGAGGGGGAAGCATTTTACATGCGTGCATGCACGCACGGGGCTGCGAGGAGGCGCGCACTGCAAACAGGGCAGGGCTAGTGCCTGCGTGATACTCACTAGCCCTGCCCCTGTTCTTGCGTTGTGCAGCACCTTGTATCTGCACCCTGTGGCGCGGCGGCAGACTTTTTTGCGCCTTGCTGCACGGTGGCCCATTTTTGCGCCCCCAGTTTTTGCGTGTCAGAGGCGGCACTCGGAGGCGCCTCTCTGCATCCCCAAGGGCACCACAATGCTGATGTGGCCCTGGCATTTTATTATTATTATTATTATTTTATTTATTGAATTTATATACCGCCCTATCTCCCTTACGGGACTCAGGGCGGTGAACAGGCGATAATAAAAAACCACAATAAATATACACAAGTTTCTGTTCTAAAATAAAATTAAATAACAGGCCTGCTCTAAAAGTACCCCATACCAAACCCCCACTAAAACATAATCAAACTACGCCAGGCCGGCCGCACGGAATAGATGGGCCTTCAGGGCTCGGCGAAAAAGGCGATATTTTGCGATAAATAAGTGGGATTTGGGTTGCGGTTTGGGCACTCGGTCTCTAAAAGGTTCGCCATCACTGTTCTGGGGTATGGGATATAAATAACCAGTCAATCAATCAGAAGCGTCAATCACCTGGGTCTGGACTGCGAGGTGAAAAGCACCCTTCTTGAATGGCAAAAGGTCCCCGTTCATGTTCCGTGTTCCCTCGGGGTAGATCCAGACCTTGAGCTGCAACAGAAAGAAAGACAAGATGGTAGAACTTGGGGGGGGGGGAGCATTCTGGCATCTGTTCACCCTGAACAGTTTTGGGACAGGTTCCCTTTGGTATGAGGCTCCTAAGCCCTCTGAGCCAAAAACAGCCACTGAAATCTGAGCCGAATAAGCAGAATAAACAAGTAGAAAAGGCCCCTGGAGGACGTCTAGTCCACCCCCCTGGCTCAAGGCAGTGGACCTTATACCATCCCAGTCAAGTGGGTGTGCACACAATTTTTGATGACCTCCAGTGATGGAGTAACCATAACTTCTGGAAGGAAGCTATCCCACTGATTGTTAACGGGGCTGGGTGTCAGGTACTGTGAGAATGGAGCCTTTGTTTTGACACATGGTTTGCTTTATTTGCTGGACAATATAACCAATCAATCGACCAATCAGAATAGAGCTGGAAGGGACCCTGGAGGTCTTCTGGTCCAGCCCCCTGCTCAAGCAGGAGATCCTATGCCATTTCAGACAAATGGCTGTCCAGTCTCTTCTTAAAAACTTCCAGTGTTGGAGCATTCACCGCTTCTGGAGGCAGGTTGTTCCATTGGTTAATTGTTCTAACTGTCAGGAAGTTTCTCCTTAGTTCTAGGTTGCTTCTCTCCTTGATCAGTTTCCATCCGTTGCTTCTTGTCCGGCCTTCAGGTGCTTTGGAGAATAGCTTGACTCCCTCTTCTTTGGGGCAGCCCCTGAGATACTGGAAGGCTGCTATCATGTGCCCCCTCGTCCTTCTCTTCATTAAACTAGACATACCCAATTCCAGCAGCCTTTCCTTATATATTTTAGCCCCCAGCCCCCTAAGCATCTTTGTTGCTCTTCTCTGTACTCTTTCTAGAGTCTCAACATCTTTTTTACATCGTGGTGACCAAAACTGGATGCAATATTCCAAGTGTGGCCTTACCAAGGCCTTGTAAAGTGGTATTAATGAAATACTTAAAAACAGTTTTGCAGATCTTTTATTGATTTTCTCAGCTAAAGTCCACGCTATTTTTGGAAAACCTCCAGCAACGTTTCGCTGATTTGATTTGACAGCGAAGTCAAATACTTTTTGAGGCTGCTTAAAACTTTAGAAATATAATTCATCTTGCCATCTCCAGGACAATTATTTTTTTTTGAACAAGAAAACGGTCAAATTTTGTTCTCACAACATCTACGGCTGGTGGCAACCTCTAGCTGATCCTGGCTAATCTTGAAAAAAAAAAAAACAGAATAACAGAGTTGGAAGGGACCTTGTAGGTCATCTAGTCCAACCCCCCCCACCCAAGCTGAGCAAGATGGGATTTGATTAGCGTGCTGGCTGGGGAACTCTGGGAGTTGAAGTCCACAGGCCCTGTTTGAGAAACACAGCCCTTGAAGCACTTTCTCTTTGCCAGAACTGAGTCAATGAGAAAATGCAGGGCTTTCGTTCAGGCTGATCCATGCTGTGTGCCTCATATCAACTGCCTAGGAGCTGCCAGAAGGGGGCGCCGTTGCCCTGGCACACTTTCAAAGAGGGCAGAAAGGTGGACAGGAGGGCAGGTCGAATCCAGCCTGGCAGCAGATTCTAATATTTAGCAGACTTCTAATCAAGGGAAGAAGCAGAACAGTAGAGAGTGATGCATTTGAATTGGCAGGGACCAGTTTGGTGCAGGTGTGAAAGCGCAAGGCTAGTAACCTGGAGGCCACCGAGTTCTAGTGTTGGCTTAGGCCAGAAGTAGGCAACCTGGGCTCTTTTATGACTCGTGGACTTCAACTCCCAGAATTCCTGAGCCAGCCACGCTGAGGGGAAAGGGAGAGGTTTCCAAGCTGAGCCGTGCTGGCTCAGGAATTCTGGGAGTTGAAGTCCACGAGTCATAAAAGAGCCAAGGTTGCCTACCCCTGTTGTAAGTCCTCCTGTTCTAAGCGGTGAGCCTCCTAGACCAGGGGTAGGCAACCTTGGCTCTTCTATGACTGGTGGACTTCAACTCCCAGAATTCCTGAGTCAGCCATGCTGAGGGGAAAGGGAGAGGCTTCCAAGCTGAGCCTTGCTGGCTCAGGAATTCTGGGAGTTGAAGTCTACGAGTCATAAAGCGGCCTAGGCCTAGGCCAGAGATAGGCAACCTTGGCTCTTTTATGACTCGTGGACTTCAACTCCCAGAATTCCTGAGCCAGCACGACTCAGCTTGGAAACCTCTCCCTTTCCCCTCAGCATGGCTGGCTCAGGAATTCTGGGAGTTGAAGTCCACGAGTCATAAAAGAGCCAAGGTTGCCTACCCCTGGCTTAGGCAAAATGCCAGCTGGGTGACCTTGTGCCTTAGGAAGAAGGAAGTAAAGCAAATCAGTCTTGAAAAACGTTGCCAAGAGAACAGCAGAGACTTGCCCAGATGGTCAACAAGAGTCTGGAGGGACGTTGTAACCCATGCACACACACACACACACACACAAAAGAAATAAATCTGCCGAACTGAAATTGTTCAGGCTGAAAAGCAACAGAGACAATCAGGGGTCTGGAAGCTAAACCGCGTAATGAACAATTAAGGGACGTGGGTATGTCTAGCCCAGGGGTAGGCCACCTTGGCTCTTATGACTGGTGAACTTCAACTCCCAGAATTCCCGAGGCAGCCTGGCTCAGCTTGGAAACCTCTCCCTTTCCCCTCAGCATGGCTGGCTCAGGAATTCTGGGAGTTGAAGTCCACGAGTCATAAAAGGGCCAAGTTGGAAGACCACTGTTCTATTCCATGTCTATACTGCATATCAAAATAGAAGAAGAAGAACCAGCAAATGGTTTATCAAGATAAGGCCTATTTTCTTGAGCAGTTGTGGTGGCCCAGCTTTAGTAAAGGTTTAGCAGATTTATGTGTTATTGCTAATAATTCCCTCAGATCATCTAGCCCAGGGGTAGGCAACCTTGGCTCTTTTATGACTCGTGGACTTCAATTCCCAGAATTCCTGAGCCAGCATGGCTCAGCTTGGAAACCTCTCCCTGTCTCCTCAGCATGGCTGGCTCAGGAATTCTGGGAGTTGAAGTCCACGAGTCATAAAAGAGCCAAGGTGGCCTACTCCTGGTCTAGCCTAACAAAGAGAAGGACTAAGGGTGACATGATAGCAGTCATCCAGTACTTGAGTGGTTGTCACAGAGGAGCGGGGGTCCAGTTATTCCTCCACGCACCTGAGGGTGGGACAAGAAATAATGGGTGGAAGCTCATCAAAGGGAGATCAAACCTGGAATTAAGGAGAAATTTCCTGGCAGGGAGAGCAACGAATCAACGGACCATTTATCTCCCATAGTTGTAGGTGCACCGTTGCTGGAAGTTTTCAAGAAAAGATTGGACAATCATTTGTCCAGAAGGGAATAAGGACTCCTGCCTGGGGCAACGGGTTGGACTAGAAGACCTCCAAGGTCCCTTCCAGGGCTACAATGTTATGCCCAATAGCTCCTCTTATTCGCTCTGCCAGATAGAGCCAGCAAGCCTTCACAGGAGAACATCCAACCAGGTATCAGAAAAAGAAAGTGCAAAGATACAGGCAGTTTTAGAATAGAATAGAGCCGGAAGGGACCTTGGAGGTCTTCTAGTCCAGTTCTCGAGTTACAACCATAATGAAGCCTGCCCATCATGGTCATAAGTCACGACAGTCATAAGCTGGGTTGGTCATGTGACTGAGCCAATTTTACAACCTTTTTTTGCAGCAGTTGTTAAGTGAACCCAGGCCTCACATTGGGACCCGTTTTGCCAAAAAGAGGAAATAACTATTGGTTTTTGGCAAAATTATCCTAAAACGCCATCGCGTGACCATGGCACACTGTAAAGAACTGTAAATGCTGGCCAGTTACCAAGTGCCCAAAGTGTGGTCACAGGGCATGGAGAGAGGGAGAGAGAAAAAGAGAGGGAGAGAGAAAAAGAGAGAGGGAGAGAGAGAAAAAGAGAGAGAGAAAAAGAGGGCGAGAGAAAGAGAAAGAGAAAGAGAGAGAGGGAGAGAAAAAGAGAGAAAGGAAAAAAAGAGGGAGAGGGAGAGAGAAACAGAGGGGGAGAGGAAAGAGAGAGAGGAAGAGAGAAAGAGAGAGGGAGAGAGAAAGAGAGAAAGAGAGAGAAAAAAAGAGGGAGAGAAAAAGAGAAAGAAAAAAGAGAGGGAGAGGGAGAAAAAGAGAGAAAGAGGAAGAGGAAGAGAGAGAGGAAGAGAAAGAAAGAGAGAGAGGGAGAGAGAGAAAAAGAGAGAGAAAGGAAAAAAGGAGAGAGGGAGAGAGGGGGGGAGAGAAAAGAGAGGGAGATGAAGAGGAAGAGGAAGAGAGAGAGAGAGAGAGGGGGAGAAAGAGAGAGGGAGAGAGAAAAAGAGGAGAGAGGGAGAGAAAGAGAGAGAGAGAGAAAAGAGAGAGAGAGGGAGAGAGTACCTCCCCCCCCCAGGTGCATTGTAACTACAAATGGTTATCTTGAGCTAGTAAGCTATATTTAGCAAGAACTGAGTTTGGCCAAGCTAGAGCAAGGAAGGTCTAGGGAGTGACATGATAGCAGTCTTCCAGTATCTGGGGGCTGTCACAAAGAAGAGGGGGGTCAACCAATTTTCCAAAGCACCAGAGGGCAGGACAAGAAACAATGGATGGAAACTAATTAAGGAGAGAAGCAACCTGGAACTAAGGAGAAACTTCCTAACGGTTAGGACAATGAACCAGTGGAACAGCTGGCCTTCAGACGTTGTGGGTGCTTCATCACTGGACGTTTTTAAGAAAAGACTGGACAGCCACCTATCTGAAATTGTACAGGGTCTCCTGCTTGAGGAAGGGGTTGGACTAGAAGACCTCCAAGGTCCCTTCCAGCTCTATCCTGATTAATATTCCTATGGAGAAGTGTTTTACAACTTAAAAGATGTGTGAACTTCAACTGCTACAGAGAAGATACTTTTAAACGCCCCCCAATTTCATTTAGCTAATCCAGGAAAAATTTAGCTCCAGTTATTCTGGATTTATTTTTTAAGTAATTATACTTCCTTATGTCCTTTTATATACACATCTCTCATAGAAC